TCACTTTAATTGCCCAGTTTAAAACATTAGTTATAAAAGTAATCAAATAATCATATGTAATAAGTTACAGATCTTGAAGCAGCAATCCTGCTTCAAGATCTGATGTTATATATGTTACAATTCCTCTTGTTAAAATGTGAAATATCTTCATTCTAAAAGTATACCATTCTGAAAACATCAACAAGTATTGACATGCAGGGAATATTTGCCCACTTTAACGTGTAAAAAACAGCATGGGTTCAAAAAGCATGTGGGTTTTCACATGACCATCTGTAAGGGTCTACTGTGAAATCCTCATGCAGCCCAGCATCTACCAACACTGTGGTTAACAGATTTGTGGGGAAGTTTGAAAATTTAAGAGAACGTCTGCAATAAAATATCAGAGATGAGCTGATTTCTAAAAACTCTAGCTGCTGGTTACAGTGCAAAGCAGGAAGTTCCTCAAGTTATCACACCAATGTTGCTTCTTAGGGAAGTCAGTGAGGAAATGTTGAAACAACTATTGAAACGGGGAACTAAGTTGTCATGAGACAGACGTTACCTATTGCAAAGCGCTCGGCCATGTAGCTTCGTGCACATTAATCACGGAAGATCTTTAGGTCTGCTTGCTCTTGTTAGTTGCCCCGTTGGACGTCCCTGTAGCAACGTCATCATCTCACCAGATCTCAGCAACTTACTCAGGTGAGTATCGGGATCACTGATCAAATGGTGGTCAAATGATCAAGTCCATTAAAATAAGACCATAGTTGCAACAAACTGGAATTATCCTATAGTTCACATGTAAAATGTATTCACTGTAACAGGATATAAAGAGGCACAGATCTTCCATAATCAAGCTATGAACTAGATGTAGTCATATGAACCGGATGCAGTTCCACGAAATCGTTACAACGTGCTCCAAAGTACTTCATGATAAGGCTGCAATATGACGATATATATATTGTGTGATGATAGTAAAACTTTTATTGTTTCATTATACTTTCCTGCAACCACTGAAATGGGTCAGGTAATGTTGGTAATTTCACTATGGAGTTTGATTTGCAGGGGTTTAGTGAAGCTCCAACTTTTTATTGTACCAAAGCACAACTCACGTCTATTGCAGAGCATTATCATACTGCAACTGCTCCAACTTCTTGTAAGAAAGATGAACTTCAAACTAAGAAAGTGCTTATTATTAGGCCTAGCTAGCCTGATGAAGAGGGCTACGTAGGTGAGTCTGTTGAGTTGCCTCGCAGCAAGGCAGAGGAGGTAAAGTTGCAGAATCAAGAGGATCACTCTGTCGCTTGTGAGAGTTACAACTGCAGTTCAAGCTTAAACAGCTAGAAACTGAGGTCCGAGGTTAGAGGTAGAGAAGGAGAGGTTGCGATTAAATCATGAAGAGGAAATGAAGGAAATGGAGTTTAGGGCAGTTTTAGGTACTATTGTTTATTTCGTTGTGTTGCAAATAACATTCCTACGGCAATATTTTTGTCGTTTGGACGATGTTTCGCATTCGGAGAGGGACTCTGACCAGCCAAAATAAAAAAAGGAGCTTGTACCTAAATCTGGCTACTTTTGTTGCATGGACGCGGTTTGGGTATGAAAAGTCTGACACAGTGGGTCTTTTATTAAAACGTGCTATGACGTGATATGTATCAGCACCTGGATATAAAATAACGTATCGGGCTGTAAGATTTTGTTCGGCTCTACCCCATGAGATATTAAAGCTGCAGTAGGAACTTTTATGAAAATAACTTTTTGTCATATTTGCTGAAACTTTCACTATATCCTGACAGTAGAACATGAGACATTTAATCTGTGAAAAAATCTGGTTCCCTGGCTCCTGCTCGTGCTGCTAATGCAGTTCATTTGCAAGAATCCTGAACAAAAACAACCAATCACAGCTGACAAAGATTATTTACTGTGGAAGCTTATTCCCAGGTCGTCACATACTGACACTGGGAATTAGCCTCGACAATCAATTATCTTCAAGCAACCAACCCAATGTGTCTTTCTATCTCTCTCGGCTCTGATTGGTTGTTTTTGTTCAGGCCTGAAGGATTATTGCAAATACCATTAGGAGCACTAGGGCGAGCAAGAGCAACCTGATTTTTCCACAGATTATTTGTCCTATATACTACTGTCAGAAAATAGTGAAAGTTTCAGCAAATATGTTTTTTTACAAAAGTTGCCTACTGCAGCTTTAAGGATGACAGATGGGTGTGTTTATGGGTATTTTCGGGCTGGCCTGCAAACGTGGTTTGTACAGTTGTATCAATTTGACTATAAATGAATGCTCAACATGCTGCACATGGCACCTTTAATAATGACAAAAAGCTACATAAATGGCACAACCACTTTACTAATTAACTCATTACCACACATTGACTAATGTCCCCTCCAAACAAGAGATAGGCGAGGTGTGTACCAAGCAGCTTAACGCTAGGCTTCACTACAGCGTGACTGCAGAGGTAAATGTGTGTTCAGACAGGTAATAACCATGAGGCTGGACCCCCTGCCTTTAGCTATCTGTGTATAGGATCAATCCCAGGCCACAGAGGACCACACTGGACCATTGTTATAGTATGGGGGAGGGATGGCTCCTCTGAAAAGGACCCCTAATCTGGTGTGTGCAAAGTTGAGGATAGTGGTGGAGCAGCGGAATGAAGTCTGCAGCAGAGAGGAAGAGCAATGACACGAAGCTTTGACGATGTCTGAATGGCCTTTTTGAACACAATTTGGAGTCCTTTGAACTATTTAAATGTTTCAATGAAAGTCTGATGACTCTAAATGCATTCCGAAAGTTCAGAAGTTTTTTAGAAAAGATTATATTTAAGAGTAAAAGTGCTTTGGTGCTGTGGAATTATGCCTTCCAGAATGCTAAATTATTGACATATTTGTATGCAAACAGATGAATGTGCCAGCAGCTTCTCATATCTTATGAATACAGTATCTTATGAGCTGTGTATATGTTCCATATGTGAAAGTATTTTCTATCTCTAGCTGTTAAATAAATGTGGTGGAGGAAAAGATTTCCCTCTGAAATTAGCAGACTTTTTTTTAGGCTTTTCTTTATGTTTAATGTAAAGACCCCCCCCCCTTTAGATTTTTAGACTCAGCACTGTCATCACTCAATTTGTACATTTGTCTGGTGGTCTCTGGACATCTTTATACATTTTAGGGTTTTATGAAACCTAGTGGAAACTGTGTGTTGATTTCTTCTATAACTCAGTCAAAGTGTAGCCATGTAAATAAATAAATACATCTGCATTCTGAAGAGTGTGGTTTGCAAAGAGCATGTGTAATTATATTCCTCCTTTAGAGACACTTAATCCAACATGTGGTTGCTTTTCCTCCACAGAACATGTGGACATTTCTGGTAAATTGAGTTAGCCTGCCACCTTTTGGACAAATCATACAATTACTTAAGATTGATCAAGTTTGTCCAGGAAGTGTTTATAAAGCTCTTTTTTCAGCACAAATGAGTTCCATAGACTTCAGTGCATCACAGTGAGGCAACTGTTTACTTGTGGTTGTTCATTTAGTATTAAATTGTATAAACTGTGTTTAAGTGATGGTGCTCAGGTTAGACATTCTACATCCTCTGAATTATTTCTTTTCTAGTAACTTAAATCATAAATCTTAAATAAAATAAAGAATTTAACATCATTTTGCGCATAAAAAAATGCAAGTCTGTTATACAGCATTGGCCCTTATTACTGTATAGCAGCTCCAGACTGTCTATGATTGGGAACACACTGCTCTCTAGTGGCCAATATACAAAACTGCATGATGTATTATGACATGGATAAACATTCAGTAGCCTTCAGGTTGGTGCTTTAATTACTTTGTGTCCTGTATTTTTGGTGCAGAGTTCTGTGTTTTTATTGTACATACAATTGTTGTTTTTTTTACTGTCTCTTGTGTATTTGTTGAGTTTTATGTATTTTAAAAGCCCATCTAGGGACAGCCATTGCAAGGGCTATAAATGCTGTGCATTCTTTTTATGCAACATACTTGTCTCCATACAAATAAACAATAAATAAATAAATAAGTCAATCATGAAAATTAGGGTGAATGTTAGTCTCTAGCTTCCATTTATTTTGCTGTTTTTCTCTCCAACAGAGAGGAAAGATTCATTTTTAAAAGATGAAGAAAATTCAGATTCTCCTCTCACGTCCTCGTGCAGATTCTGTGCTAATGTGGAATGTTGAGTAGAAATATTGTATGTAGTTTCATAAATGAGTAGAAGTTTTTTTGTTTGGAGTTCAACCTTAACCGAAGGCTGATGCACGGGTGAAAAAAACCATTCAAACATGATTCTACCGACACAAAGACTGGATATTTTAAGAATCAATTATGCAAAAGCTGGATAGGTTGCCCTGAATCTTATTTTACTCTGTTACTTTATGCTTCATACTGATGTGTACATATGTATATATATCAGCATAGCATATTAATGAAGAATGATTAGATTTCTGCAATTTAGCAATTCCTTCACACTGCTTAGATTTGTGGAGAGTACGCAGAGGAGCTTTTTCTGCTGAAGATTTGAATATTCATACTTCTGATCTGTTGTAGATCTATTCAGATTCTGGGAAGTCAACTATTTCAAATATACATTTTACCACTGAATATTGTACTTGTTTTCCAATATTAACGTCACATACATATTAAACATACAGTAGAGAGTAGTATTTTCTCAATTGGAGAATATACTCTCTACTGTATGTATTCAGTGGGATGCCGAATATACTCTATTTTCTTTTCTATTTTAAACAAATAAAGGAAGATATTTTAAGACTTTTTCACAATGTCTGTTATATAATATTGTAAATGTTTTTTTTTTATTTTCTTCTGTATCCCGAAAAATATATGTACCATAGAGAGAAATTCAAGATGGTATTTTAACCGAAAATAATGCCTAATTCCTGGTGACTGTTATACCGTTTACTCTTATTCAACATATTAATAAAGTACCTCACAGTCCTTGTAAGTGAAGAAAAAAGCTTTACAAAGTGTTTTTGAGTTTTCTTTACCTTTATTGAACACAAGAATTTCTGGCAGAAATGCAAAGTCAAAGTGTGTTTTCCTTCTTTCCTCAGTTAGTATTCAGTATTTACACCAGTGACAGTGGACAGACACACAGACAGAGGACTGCCTACCAATGTCTGAACTTCAGTATGAACTCTGAATCAATGACAGTGACCAGCTGTTGGCAGTGGAGGCTCAAGTCTCCTCTCTGACCGAGTGTGAAGCAGTTTGGTGTTTGCACTGTTGTGTGTTGGTGATTCTCACTCAGAGACGGAGAACCTTGGCAGGATGCTTTTCTCTTTTTCAAACCCTGAAAAATTCATGTTGCTTTGTCTCCTTGCAAACGCTGAGCAAGATGAAAAAAATCAGCTGGATGTCTTTTTTTCTAACTGAATCAAGTGGCAGACTCAAAGAGAAAAATGCAAGGCTGCCTCTGTGTCATTCTTGCAATTTTGAGGTAACTGAACAAGGGGGACTTGCTCACACGGTGTCCTTGACAAGTGGATTTCAGGAGCCGTGACATGGGTAGAAAAAGTTTTTTACGTAAACTTGCACAAAACTTGGTCCCACATTTGCAATTTGAGAATATTTTCAAGCTTGTTTTTGGACATAACAAAAAGCTCACATGGTTCTTTTTGTATTTTTGCACACTGTATTTCAGCTTTAACAGCAGAATTTGCTTATGACACTTTTTTTAAAATTACATTTCAGAGCTTTGTGAAGCAAAAACAGTTTTCTTTTGAAGCAAACATGACAAGTCTGGGAAACAGGACAAGTTACACAACACTTGAAAAAAGAGCAATACAATACATGAAGCTTTCATTATTTTTTCATTATCAAAAACTGTGAGATTATTATCATTTTCTAATATATTTTGCATGCTTGCTTCTGACAAATCTGACAATTTTAGATATTTTAGAGAATATGGGACCTGAGCAAAGTGTCATTGTGTCTCGTACTTAGATGTAATGGTGTGCTAGATGTCATTATAATGTGATACCAGTTATCTAGGATGAGGTGGCAGTAAGTCCAGATGTTTTCTTTTAAGGGTAGTTCCAGTTTATTACAGCTTGGGTCTTATTTTTGTAGCTTCGCCCATCATTTCCATTGGTTTTGCTAACATTGTACGGCGAGATCTTGGAGAGATCAGGGTCCGTCCCGGCAAGAAAAATAAGCAGGCTGTCACTTTATTTGGAAATAAAATTGAAAGTAGTTAGTGCACCTGAAATGTTGGTAACATTGGCTTTAGATTTGGTCTAATAAGCCTATTTTCTGTAATTCTAAATGTATTAATGCATGCCTGGTTTGCATTGATTGCCAGGGTTAGGGTCCATTGGAGCTTGACAACTAAAGTAAGCACAGTAAATCAAAACTGAGCCAGGAAGTCAGCAAGTAAACTGTGACGAACTTTTGAACCTTTGTTTTCCTTCCCAAAAAGTTTGGCTAACCTTTACAACCTGTCTGATAGACTGCTCGTGTTTCTTGCCCCACTGGTGCTCATATTAGTTCAGAGATGGTGCCATTTTCTCACATCTGAGCAATTTGCTTTAGTACAATGTTCATCATAACGATAGAAAGGATGGCAAAACCTACTCAAATAAGATAACCAGAATTATCCTTTAACAAGGACAGTGTAAAGGACCCGTTGTATGTTCCAGAACACCAACTCAGCTATTGTGAATATACGACACAATCTGAACAAAGCACTGCTTAACTTACACCTGTGAAATGTAGAAAATGAAAAAGGGAATCTGCAGGAAGATGGAGATGTGAAACCTTTAATGGACAGACACTGAGAGGAATGGAATGCATGCGACCATTTTCTTATTCAAAGGCACTGTGTCTTTCCAGTTTGCTGCTGTCAGACTTCTGTACGTTGACGTCATGAATTCTGTCGCACACTATCAGCTACATCTTTTCACAATCAATCTATTTGCTCAACTCTATGACAAAGGACACAATGGATTCACACATTCACAGTGTACTAGCTTGCAGTCTAAAGTAGGAGGAACACTGTACAACAAAAGGTGGTCAGACTTGTGTTTCTTTTGTTTAACCTTTCAGATCCACAGCAGGGTACTATGGCTTGAGAAAGAACATTTTGAAATCCTTCAATTAGTTTCGGTGCATAAAAAGAAACCTTTAAACACCACAGACCAATTTCCTTCCTGGTCAGTTAAAATAGGCCACATTGTGGTTCTTTCCCATTCAGTTTTGCTGAAAAAAGGACCACTGAAAGGCAATGCTTAATGGCTCGAGAGAGTACATTCATTTACAGACACAGAACCAGTATTAATCTCTCAATTTAAGCCAAATTTCAGAGTTAGTCAGCACAGTTTTCCAAAGGAACCCCTAGGAGCTGTGTCTGGTGGGCTTTTTCATTAGTTTAAGATGGTTCTTGGTAGTTTAACTCATTGGTTTACCAAATATGTAATGAGGATTGGTAACAAAGTCACCTCTGTGTTTCTGTTCAGTGTGCATGCTAAAGTCTTACCATGTAGTATGCTAAATAACCATAGTCAATTGACATTATCCAAAATCTCAAATTTCATAATTAATAAAGTCAATGTAAGCCGAGAGTACAGAGGTAGAGCCGACTGGTCTTAGCGGGACAGAGATAGTGTGATGCTGGTGAAAGTGGAAGACTTTGAGATCACAGATGCTGGTAGACAAAATCACATGTTCAGATTCATTACGTTGATCAGAGCAGTAGCAGAAGCATTAGCTTCCTGCACTGACTGAAACAGCTCTACGGTTACAGGCTGGTCACATAACAAGCTGATGGTCATTTTGGCAGTGTTTTTGCTGATTAGCTAGCTTAACCCGACTTTGTATCGAATAGCAACCACGAAGATAAATGTGTGTCACTAAACGTTCATTCTTTTGGTTGAGATGCATTTTTAATCTATTGTGCTTTAATAGAACCCTTAAAAAGCCTGGAGGGTTTGGACTGGTGATGTCTACATCAAAATTAGCAAACCGTCCAGGCTAAGATTAGCCCCGCCAAACATAGCAAGGATGCTAATCACCGCCACATGCAAAGCTAAATGCAGGTTGCTCATGGTTTCAGCAGTAAAATGATTACTTTTATTTACATGGAATTTAAATACGGTACAAGTCTCAGCTGCCTAGTGTTCATTTAGTATATTGCTAGCTGTCTGAGCATGCACAATGGACAGATGTATTTATAGTAGACACAGATAGTGATCATGTAATCAGTCCTCTCAGATACTGGGTAAAATGAGCAATGGGCCAAACTGAAGACAAATAAATCAGAGTAGTCCTTTAAAGTGGTACTACTGAAGTCAAACTTGTCCAAACTCCAAATAAATTAAACTGAACTACAACGTGTGTATTCTCTTTATTCACAAATCTGAACTTTAATATCTGGCCAGGCTAACGGATAAAGACAAAATCTCTAGGCCAGCTGTGGCTCCTTTAATAATTTCCAGGCATTTTCCAGAAATTGTCCATTAAGTGGACCTTGTGCTAAGAATATAGTGAATTTTGAAAAAGTGATAAACTGTACTAAACCTACAATACATGTCACATCACTGCAGGCACAAACTAATTAAAGACTGAAACGCAGGACAGTGGAAGCAGTGGTGACGCAAACACACTGACAGCAGTTGGGGTGAAAGAGAGGAAACGATGACTGAAGGCATCAGATGTTTGGTCACTCAGAGGTGTAGAAATCTCAGAAAGCTGAGCCCTCAGACCAGTCAGTAAAAAGCAGTGAACAATATTGGTTAGCACAGAGAAGGCAACAATGGCTATGAACCAGAGAAGAAGGTAAAGATGGTTAACCCCCAAAGGAAACAAACTGAATGTGATATTCGCGACCGATTCCAGGCAGTGGAAACTGGTGTGTCAAGAATTCAACGAGTTTGGCCGACAAGCCTGCAAGGGCTTGTTTTCTTTCTTTTCTTTCAACAAACAGGTCAACTTCTCAGTCGAAACCTGCTTACTGAAATTGCTCTGACAAAACACACGTGGCCTTTTAAGTCACTGTTAAGCCCAAACCTGACAGGTAAAAGAACTGGTCCGAAATGCTTAAAGGAGACCTCTGGAAAAGGGGAGGTGTATGTGTGTGAAAGAGGAGATAAAGGTGTGTTCTCACATCGACCTAAAGAAATAACAATATTAACAATTCACACATGAGCTGTGTCCCATTACAGGCGCCACCTCCTTCGAAGAACGTGGTTTATGCGGGGATGGCAGTGAACATATGAACTACCGAGACGGGACTGCCTACAGAGGATTCACCTTTTGCAAAACTAATGGGTGGTCCTCATCAGATCGTGAGGTCAAAAATGACCAGCAGGAAGTTGCCCTCGAACAGCCCAGGATAGTTTATAGTTCTGATGTTTCATTTCAGGACACAATGGTTAACTGGAATGTGCCATGATACTGGTAAATCTATCCACATAATTAAATTTACATTCACTACCTACATCGCTACTTCTAAGGAGAACCGGAGGACTTTAAGCCTGGCTTCCTTATTTACATCCTGTAGAAACCTTTTTCGTTGGTCCAGCTCATACGTTTACGGCATGAATTCACCTCGTATATGCTGACGAGTTGATGAGGAATGAAAGTGTTATTATGAAAAACTGAATGGTGGATTCAGGGCAAAATAAGGCAGTATTTCTCCTTTGAAATGGGACGCTTGAGTTGACCCGTTATGATGAATTCAGTTTTGAAAATTGGACTTTGAGGGATGTGGCCCCTGGAAGAGAACACAGCTACAATCTTCAGTGTGACCATTTCTGTACCCTAAACCCAACCCAACCCAACCCAACCCTGTCTCCTAAAAATAATGTTTGTACACAGTTCAATTGTCACACCAAATAAATTGTGAAGGAAACATAATGTCAGCCAGGTTGGTCTCAATGAACATATCTTCAAAGAAACGATATGATCATAGAGAACTCAAGACACTCACTGACCTTTCGTTTGATTTCCTACATTAGCATCCTCTGTGGCAGTTAAAGCATGACTGACATTTTTACGGCTATGTTTGTACAACTCATTGATCTTGGTTAAGGGTTAGGGAAAGATCTGGTTCATTTTAACTTTCCTTACAAAATTTAGTAGCATTAATCCAACTACAGGGGACAGGACTTTGTGTGCCCTCCTGGTCCTATCTCTATGAAATCCATATGGAAGAAGAAAAAAAGCTGTGCTAGTGAACATCATCTTTGCAGCTGTTGCTGTATGCTTCCTTCATAGTGTATTAGGCAAACCCATTTACCAATATACATGTACTGCATAAACAGAACATTTATGGAGACAGGGTTCAAACCCCTGAACCTAGACTTTAATAGCATGATAAATCTTTCTCCGGTGTCTTCTTCCGTTTCTCATAGCTTAGGCTAAACGATTTCTGGACCAGAACCATATGGAGACCATATGAAAAAAAAAACAACAACAAAAAAAAAAACATCTAAAGAGGAACCAAATGACAGCAACATGTACAGAAATACAGTAACTTTGCAAAAACAGGCATGCTAATGTTCTAATCTCTAGCCCTGGAAATAACACATTAAAAAAGCTAAATAGGCAGTAACGTCTGCACATTATTTAAACACAACAAAATATTGACAAAGGAAATAAGACCCATAATTCATTACCACAATGATGACCATACTGCATTAAGAGTAGTAGTATCGGTAATGTACCAGTCTTATGTGTGTACATGAAGAGGGCAGTAATCTGTGAAGTAAAGCTACAGTCCAACCGTGGTTATCTAGAGAAAATAGTATAGATTCTGTTCCATATTGATCAATTTAATATTACATACAAGAGAGAGGGTGAACTAGTATGAATTTTGCTTTTTTTTCTGTGACAAATAAACAAATAGAAACTGACGTAAAAGGAACTAAGGCATGTGCATGAGGTCTTTACATTTTCCTGGTCAGAAGACACTGTAGAAGGAGACCCATGAACCTTTTTTTTTTAGATTTTCTGTTGCTTTTTTCTGATGCGATGGGGTGGTGTGTGACATTGCTTTGAGGTTTCAGTGACTGTGACCCCCCGCCTCCCATTTTTAACATTAAAAACCCACACCCAACCACCCTCCCTGACCCAACCACCCTCTTCTTCCCGCCGCTCTTGGGTCGAGGGAATTACGCTTTACTCTCGTTGCCGTTCGTCTGGGGAGCCTCGTTGGGAACTGTCTTCACCTCGGTCGTGGCGTTCTTCACCTCCGTCTCGCCTTTGGTGATTTCATCCTTCACAGTCTTACCACTATGGGGACAAACACGGCAGCCAGAGAGAACCAGAAAGAGACAAAAGAGAGGAGACTGTGTTAACGGTGAATCACTAAGTCTTTCTCTCACAGCTAAACTGTCTGCTCTGAGCTGCCTTTTGTGTCATTTTTCAAAGAAAGAAGGAAAAAAAATGGGGGGAAAACATGCAAGATGCTTTGAGGGAATTTGTTTTCCCTCCTGGAACTGAATGCATTTCACACATAATGGGATCAAGCTCACTATCCTAGCCAGACATCAAATAAGAGTACATGGATGTCACAGCTATTTTCAAGGAACAATGAATGCTGATGTGGAATGAGACAGGGCCGGTACAGTAGGCACAATGCATGAAGGAATGAAAGACTGAGGCATAACCTACAACACAAACTACAATACACAAGAGGATTACACGCTGTCTGGACTGAGCCAAGACACAATGGAAAAAGACTTTAAAGCCATACTTCGCTTAAGTCGAACATTTTCTGGTGTTAGCATATGTACCCTTGTTGGAATATATTTTCTAGTCATGTGCTGCTGCGGCTTCCATTTTGAAAATGTGGTGGCTCACTGTTACACAGAGTCATCTCTTCCTGTGTCCTCTGTGTCAGCTCTCAAATAGCAATTTCAATCAATACACTTCTCTTTCCTGCTGACACATATACATGCTCTCTGTGGACCTTATAGAGTTAGGCCAGGAAGTGCCCCAAATACAGGATCCATAAATACATCCAGCCCTGAAACAGTTCCTAGAAATGTCTTCATACTTGGTGTGATCTTTGAAAAACTTTGGTCCCTAATGTTAATGTGTTACTGTCTATACAAACAAGTCTGAAGTCTGAAGCTCCACTAGCATCCCCTAGAGGCTGCAATGATCATTACATCCCACAGTGCTAGAGTTTTACCATGTGGAGCAATAGTGGGGCTGACAATGTAAAGTGTGCCCTGAAGGGTGAAGAACATGGTATCTTTGAAATATACAGATTCATAATGTCATAGTGTCTAAAATGAAAAGGTTCATCCTCAGGGGAACATGAATACACCTAGAAAATTATCTTAACTCTTTACAGAGACACTTTGTGATGGAGAATGTTGGTAAATCATTGGTGCAGACTGACTGACCAATCATTGTGGGATTCCCCCCCCCCAACCTAGTATTATACTACCAAATTCCCACTGTCTTTTGTCTCTTTTTCCAGTCCTCCTTTAGATTAAATCCTGTCTCGAGAAATACTTTCTAGGTATGATCAGGCAACAGATTTCTGTCATCTTTTTTTGTTTAAAATCTGAAAGATACTGGGCAGTGTAGACTTAACCAGGCCAGTTTTATGCAGTGAAGTAAGTAGGTTATTAACACAAGCCCCCTCAAATTCAAATGGTCACCTTGATAACATCTCAACTACAGCAGACTAATGATTGACACGTCTATACAACCACTATACTAAATTTATACTCTTGTCAGCATCAATACACAGGCTGTCTTCATTGAGGTTTGTCCCAGGTCGCCATGAATGCTGCACAAAAATTGACTTTAACACCAGCTTTCATATTTGTGCTTAATTCAGTCTGACTCAGTTCAACTGTGAGATTAGGTTTACAATATCAAAGCACGATGCACTGGTTTAGTGAAGTGATAACACTGCAGATTTACCACAGTGAGTCTGAGAGAACCCATCGTCTATAACCAACTGCCCTTTAAATAGTAAAACTCCTTCATGCAGCACTATCTATAACTATGTCACTCTCAAGTCAATGGGCACTACATCGCTTTCATGGTTAGTTAATTATACTTTCAACTAATGTACTTCAAGCACTTGCACCCTGATTAGAACTACCCAGGCTATTGTTCTCCTGAAACATTGAAAAAATGCTCTCACATAATCAAGAGCAATTCAAAGCTACACTGACAGACTGAAACCTGATTTTGAAACTTTGTTTTAAATATGCGTAGAGAGACTGTGAAAAACATTATGTATGTGATCTGTACGGGTCTATATACTGTGGAAAGATCGGCAAAGATACGTCTCTACTCAAGAGAGAAAAATGGGTCCTGTGGAGGAGTACGTCACTCAGAAATCCAATAAACCCACAAGAAGCCTGACAAGACATTTCAGTGTTGGGATGCTGAAGAAGGATCACCACATAGATCAGTGGGAGAGCTATGCTTCAGTCCTGTCAAAGAGTTATGAAGAAAAATCCCTCCAATGACAAGTTTGGTTATATCAAGGTGATGTTGAGCTGACAAGAGCCCTGCATCCAACTAGCTCTCAACTCCCCATACTTCATCACTGACACCTTCTTCTGGCCATCCGAGTGAGCAAAGTATGAGATGAAGGAGGGAGAGAAAGAGGACTGATTGTCAGTAAGCCTGTGTAATTCGTCTTCTGCCATAGCTTTTTCATCATCCTCGCTGGGTGTCAGGAATCAGGAACATCTGCAAACTCCTAGGGGAAAAACTCCAAATAATAACCCTTCCTAGCACCACCGAAATAACTGATTTCTACTGGAATAGAACGAAAACAGAGGCGTGTTTCTGAGATTCAGAGTTTGGCATTTTAATTGGCCTTCAATATCTAGTATCCTTTATCAAACTGTAGAGGACACAGAACAATGAAGTGGTGCCGCTGGAGGTCACTTTGTGACAAGTATTTAATTTACTTGAACAAGCTCATTCACCCCCGCACAACTGAGAGGGATTGTATTCTGCTGTAGATATCTCTCCACTCTTTCATACAATGAACAAAAAAATTCTAATTTTTGCTGTGCAGCGGAACACGAAACTTATTTTTCCTCACAGGTTGAAGCTGAGACAAACTGAGCTCTGTTCGCTGTATCTTTTGCAGCCATGTGGTTGTTGTTAAAGCATTAAATACAGCCAGCAATAGATTACATTCTGTAGTGTTCACTCATATAACATGGCAGATTATAGACTCATAGCTGTTTTAAGTTGGCAGTCAAAACAGTGCATAATGGAAAATTGCTTACACTACGTGGATAGGCATATGACTTGAAGAGCTTGAGGCTTATTTCCATAGTTTTGACCATCATTGCTATTGATTATGATAACATTGTACTCAAAGTAATCTAAGAACACTGCAGCATCACTACAATAAAGTCTGATGGGGCAAATTTAAAAACCGAGCCACAACTTTAGTCAGTTTATCTAAACCGCTTTAGGTCCTCATGATGAGGACACTTTAAGGTGTACATTTGTGTGTTGTACATTTTTGCATCTGAATTACAGATTGCACATAGTGTTTAATGATTTTAAAACCAAAGATCTGTTGATCATCTGATTGCTTGTTTAATACAATCTTCTTTATTAATGATGGCCACGACTACAAAAATAAGGAGTAAAGACCTGGAGTTTGAACATGGTATGTTCTAAAAAAATGTTGCCTATAATGATGCAGCAACTAATCAGGTTAACAATTTGGGTGAAATATGAAGAAGCTGTATGGTAGCAGAAAAGTTGGAGGTGGAGGGTGGAGGTGGTGGTTGAATGAAGACAGGCACGCACTGGAGGCATCCCAATAGATTGTATTACTGTGCCATTTACCTGCATGGCCATATCTGGCATTCTTAAAGGAAAATTCTACCCTTAAATGTTCCTATTATAATCATTAATCTGAGATGTTCTGTTCATTCCTGAGGCATGCTGGGATCAGGTGTTGCAAATAACTTTTTTGGCGGACCCAAACCAGCATTATGTATTTTGTTTTTTGTTTTTCACCAGATGTTTTGGATACTGCATTTTTGCATTTTATGTAAAAACACAATATTACTGGCCATTCATGCAGCCTTTACAAACTGGAGCATGTCTATAATGAGAGCTCTTCAAACTGCAACATGGTTTCTGGCTGCATCTCACCCAGGGATAATGAGGCTGTAGTTAGTGGAGACATTGGTATCTCTGCCTGTGGATCTTTTCCTGTAATGTTTATATATATTTAGTGAATAGTGGTTCCAAGCCCACAGCCAAACATATTTTCAGGTGGTGATCAGGCAACACTATCAAAATTCTACTGGAAGGCAGTGGCGCTTTGAAGCGCGGATGAAAGTCTGAGAGACTGACACATTTTGCTGTTATTTTTAACCTTTGTAAACTTGAGCTCCTTCACAATGTGACGAAGATGAGAAATCGTTTGATCTCAGCTACGTGATTGTTTGAGGCTGACACCAAAACCACAGTGTCTGCATTTTCGGGTGGATATTTCCTTTAAAAATGGCACAGTTGTGGGCTATTGGGATGCTACCAGAGCAGAAGCGACAAGTTGAGGAATGGGGATATGTCAGTGTTCATACTCATTTTGGGCCGGTGTGGTCGAGTCTGTGCACAGGGCATTGGGTGCATCCGTGGTCGGGCCGTCTACTTGTAAGTCCTTATTCTGGGTGCTGTCAGGGGCTTTGACTGGGTCACTCTGGCACTGTGGCCCGTCGGCATTAGCAGAGGGCGGGCTGACTGGCTCTGAGACAAGGGGTGTTGGGTTGGATGAGGGGGTAACTTTAGGGGTGTCGCTCAGGTCAACCAGGGGCCCAACATCAGGTTGGGTGTTAGCTTTAGGCAAACTGGACTGGGCAGCAGGACTGTTTTTGGGGGAGGACTTGGCAGGGGCGGCTTTGGTTGGGCTGGAGGCGCTGGCGGTAAGGGTGGTGCTCTCGCTAGCAGGACTGCTCTGTGCCGTGCTAAAGCTCTCAGCAACTGAGTTAGTGGCAGTGGAGGGGAGCAAGTTTACCACCGTGGAGGTGGTGTCTGCAGCAGCAGGCCTGTTTGGTGGGGAGGAGCAGGACAAACAAAGGAGGAGAGGGAGGAGTGAGGAGTGGGCACAGGGGGGGAAGCATAGGGCCAAAAAAAGTGAGGGAAAGAAAGAAAAAGGACAACGAGAGAAATATAGGGGTAGAGGGAGAGTGCAGGTCAGGGCATAAACAAGGCAGAGTGAGTGCTACAGTGCTGCAGTGAAAACACAAAATCTACACAATCAAAATGTTAGCAACAAAATATTTGTGGAGCGGTAAACAAAAAATAATACAACAATAACCTACAGGGAGGATGTTGGAGTTTCGGGTTTAGAATGCTAATATGGTTTTCACAATAAAGCAAAGACCCAGGGGACAGCAGGGTTTGTTGTTGGTCTGAATGGGTCTGAATGGGTTAAGTAGCTCGGCAGCCCCACTTAGGACCAGGGTTGACCCTGCTACATATTGGTGTGAAAAATGAATACAGGTATCTATACAAACTATAGGATAACTATAAGGTTATATAAAATTAAAGACCCGTAACAATGTAAAGTCTAAAATGTGTTACTTTTGGGCCTCTAAGCCAAATTAATAAAAGATAGTCTAGGATGGCCCTTAGCCTGGGGAACTGATCCTGTTCCATACTCACTCAGGTTCTGTCAAAGGTGTGGTCTCATTAGGCTCGGTGTGACCGCCTCCTTCTTGGTTTGGGACGTTTTCTTCCTCCGTTCTCACCTCAACAATGGGCTCCTTAGACTCATCTTTCCTGTTGTCAGAGGCCAACAGACAGTTAGCAAGCTAGCACACTAAGTTTAAGGGTGAAGGGTGGACCTAAAGGGTGGGTTTATTTTGAACAAACCAGAGTTGATGATTGTTGTTGGAAGATTGGAAAGACTATCAAAGACTGTTTTGGTGAGTTTTATTCTCTTTCTGTTGAGTTTGAATAAAGTGTTGTCAGTGGAGTCTGGTGGGCCGTAGCACTCGCTCATTTATTTTGGTCTGAGATGCTGATGCTCTAGTGCGACATCTAGTCTGAAAGTCGAATACAGCACCTTTTAGTGTGTCCCACATACACAGTGACATAATCCACCTCTAGAACGCCTGTCCACCCCACTCCACAAATGTACAGTAACCGGAAAGTCTATTTAAAGGAACATTCTGGTGATCGGCAACAATTTAAAATTTGTGATTAATAAGCTTAAACATGCAAAGAGAGTACAGTCCTTTAAGCTGTCAAACACGCTCTCTCATTCTTTCACTCCAACATTTGATCATCCTCCGCCTCACATCCACCTGCAGGCTCTGATTGTAGGTTTCCCCCTGGGGGCTTGTCTGCTATCATCACGCTGATCTCTGATTGAGCTGAGCTTTAAAGCGCTTGCTTGCTGCGAGTGACACGTCGGTGCCAAATATCAACTCTGTACGTATCACGGATTCATTCTCAATAAATCTGTTTGATGTGAGCTGTTTAGCTGAAATATTTATTTGTTGTGTTGTGAAGTGTACAGCTGGAACGATGAGAGACAGTTCCATATATTGAACAGAAGTTTGGATCAAACACGAGCTAACATGCAATAAACAGAATTACAATGTGATTAGACGTTTAAAAGGATAAAGAAACACTGCTATCACAATTTCAATCTGGAATTTATCCCCCAAAGCTGATCAAAACATCTTTGTACTATAGAGCTAAAAATTCCATTATTTGTGTAATCGTGGAAAAGCAAGGGGAGTCTAGGCGAGTTAAATAAAGTAGCATGTAGCTGAGATGTAGTAAATTCAATTTACTGGGCTGTAGCTTCAGATTTTGTTGGTTACACATCCAGCGCAGAGACACACCGCTACAGGTGTGGCTGCTTCAAAATCACCTTGGCAAAGAGTGTCAGGGAAAGAACAGCTGGTTTACCTGCGGAGCGGAGCTGCATGTGCAATCGTATATATGTAAAGTGGATTCAAACACACCTATTTACCGGCATAGCAAAAACTGAAACATTGAAAATATTTGTCTAAAAGCTGCTAGAAAACAGCGAAGGAGGGGAGCGGGCACATTACCATAGGAAAAACAAATCAGATCAAATCCAATATTGTGCATCCCTAAGATACTGATTAGTGCAGCTGTAATCCATACATCATAACTGGCAAAGATGAGGTTAACTTACGTGAATGCTGCCTTGCCCTCCTCAATGTCCTTGCTCTTAGCACCCGGCCCGGCCTTCCCACAGAAGTTCACAGCAATGCACATGAGGAGTCCACACTTGTTGAGGAAGTAGCAGGTGACGTCCACTCCCACCAACAGCAGGAAAAAGACAACAATGAGGATGCCTACGATGGCTCCGGTGCCCAGACCTGAACCACCGCCCATGGCATCTGAAGGGCAAGGACAGGGAGAGGGGACACGAAAGCACAACAGGCAAGAAAGACAGGAGGAGAAGAGGAGTTAGGGGGGAGGAAAGGGTTCAACATGAAGGAGAGGGGACAGAGAGAAAGTTAGAGAGAGAGAGGGAGAGAGATGATGAGGAATGCAGTCAAGCTTTTAATACACTGCTTCAGGTTTCAGTTGTCAAGACCTCAAGTGTGTCGTTCCTTTCAGAGGGAATGTGGAGACAAATCATGCCACCAGCAAACTAAGAAATACAATAATACCCTCATCTCTGCTTTCACTATAGAAACTTGGTATTTAATCTTGAAAATCATCACGGCCGACACACTTGAGGTGTTCAATTTCACAATCACATAACTTCCAAAGATTAAAAAACACACATCTAAATCAGTATGTGAAGACAAACTGCATCTACAAAACTTCTAGGGTTCTATATCGGTTTCTTTAATAAGAGGTGGGTGATAGTATACTAAACCCAAAGCAAATATCATTTTAAGATTAGCACTATAACCCTTCAATACTAACCCGTTTGTTTGTCACAGGTGTCATAAAAGGGCTTGTGATGCGTATTTATGACTTAAAAGATATGGATATGAATGTCAGTACCAAATTTCATGGCAATCCATCCAGTAGTTGTCGAGACATTTGAGCAAGAAGAAAAGCCAGATGATCACACCAAAGTCATCAGGATCAACCCTGTCTGCTATAAATTACGTTCATATACAACTCATTTGTTTGTTGTCATATTTTGAGGGAGATGCAATTGCTACCAGGATAATGGTTAAAGGGAGAGTATTTTCCATTGAACAAAGTGCTACGTTATTGTACCTGACGGAATTCATAGGGAGGTGTTCAGGGCTTGCTGCTGCAAATTAGAAACATACAAACGCGATATCTAGGAGACAGCGTCGTTAGGATACACTGTGTGCCGATCTATCTAGGAGATGTTGAGATATTTCAATAATAAAGAAAACTGCTTCCTACTGTTTGTCAGTGGCATTTCACACATGATTTATGTACATGGTTTGGCTATTTAACAGGCAGTGTTTTGAAACATCATTAAACAACCGCTGCATTGTAGAGAGGTTTAAGAAGTTCGAAACTCTGACTTCCTGCCATGAAAAAGAAAACTTTGATGTAAGAAAGTCGTGCAAGATTTCTCAACCTTGAAGTCTCTCAGGTAAGCAGAATACAGTTTTAATACTACATTTACAATAGATAATACTTTATTTTCAAGATTTCTTGGCCTTGGTTCATAAATACCAAAAAGCCATGGTCAATGACATCTTCAGTTTTAACATTCTGTACTAACTCGCTGATTGGGAAACATTGTTTTTTATACAGAAAGGAATGTTTGCAAGCAGCCATCTTCTTACCGGAGTTCAGAGGCAAAGAACTGGAATGAATATAAATTACAATTACAGTCTATCAGCGGGGAATACATCAAAGGAAAACCAAACTCATAACAGATTTTTTCATTGAAGGTGATATAGAGGATGTGGTTCATAGGACAGTCCTCCACTCACAGCTTTTGTATACCCAACAAAGAGAGTTAACAAACTAACAGTTTCTGTACAATTTCCCATTGAATCCTTCTTTTTCGCAACTTTCTTTGGAAACGTAAAGGTTAAAAAGGGTTATCTGAGCAGCTGTTTATCTCAACATATGCAAGCAGTCATCACATTTATAATTCCACTTTGTGGGGCGAAGCACAAATGCAGGTTATTTTCTCCCACAGATTATTCGACATAAACAAATGCGCATGCAGTTTATAGACAGGATGGAATAAACAGGATTTGGAGGTCCAAGGCAGCTCAGCCTTTCCGGCTTTGCATTTCAAGAACGGCTTTCTCAGCGCTCATCTTTCATTTTTGGCATTTGATGACATTTCTACAAACCCGGACTAATAGATGGTAGCCACACTGCCATCGTTGCATGCAAACTGCGAGTGCATCTTAGCACACAAAATATCAGCAGAGGATTCAAACAGAATCCAACTCAGTCAGTTCATCAACTGTCAGTAGTTCATAAAGTGATTAATTGGAGTATTTTTCTTGAATAATTATTTGCCAAAACTTAAAACGAGAGCATCACAACTTGCGCTGATGTCGATAGCTGATGTTGATGGCTGTGCGATGAGAACAGGTTGTTATATGGTGGAGGATTGGGAGGTTATGGATAACAAACCTTATGTTTGAAGTACTTTTTCATAGTTGAGCAGAGTAGAAAACAACCATTTCCGTTTGATGAGGAAATCAAAATGAGCACAAATGTTTGTCACCAGGTTGTCGCCTATTTGTCAGAGGACATTTGCATAAAGTTGAATCTTTCTCAACTTACCCACATTGTGCTGCTGGGTGCCTTTTGAGTCTTTGAGTAGTGATGGGTGGTATGCTTTTCAGAGTCACCTTGATGTTGTCCCATGAAAGAACATAAAAGTTTGGGGGCCATCTGTAAGTTTATGTACACTGATTATAACCACGTCCCTGAAGATAGGGTTAAGGAGCAGGAAATAGAAAATGCAAATGTGTTTTGCAGTTCTGTAAGACTGGGCCAACAGTGTGAACCCATATGTATAATGGCCTCACCATAGCCTGCAGCCTATTGTAAAAGCTTAGTAAAAAATGAATGAAAAAGACATTAGTATTGTAGTGAAAACTGTACCTTGCAATTCAGTGCCCATTTTGTTGTTTAATGGTGTTATCACAGATAATAGGAGAAATGTAGACAATGTAATGTCACATCAAGATATCAAGATATAGTTCCTGCAGCAACAACCGACTTTGATCTAAACCATCAGCCATAAGCATCAGGATTTAGCGTCAGCTCCTCCAAATTTATGTGCAAGGGTGTCTAGAGCTGCCACTTTATGCTGTTGATTGATTGCATAAAGAGAAATTCATCATAGAACAGAAGGAGTTTCTCTACCAAGAATTACTTCCACGGACCAGATTGCAAAGCAGCATGTGTGCTGTTACACTGTCACTGGTGCACATGGTGCAACGTTACACGTATAATCAAGAGTAGAATGATCATGAATAAAGACCCAGTGACATAAACATTACATTTTCAAGATCTGATCCCTCATGGTTCTGCTATGCCATGGCATCTGTCATATATATTTTAAAAAAGAACATTTTTGAGTATCTATAGATCTAATTTCTCTGCCTGTAGATTATGAAAGCATTCTGCACTAAACACGCACATTTATCCAATAAACTGTCATTAATGGCAACCGGCTAACCCCTCCAATCACATAAAACCACACCTAACCGTTAACACCACTGATCCATTACTGAAGTTTACATTTATGAGTTGACATTTCACTTGATCACATGATTTCTCCCATATTATCTGCTTTAAACAGCCAAATGTCCAGGCCGCAAAGTTGGTTTCCATTATTTACATCCTGCAATTACTTTGGTCCAGTTTATGTGACATATTTACCACTGACATGTAAAATCTCCAGACTTTACGAGTCAACAAGCAGTGCCCTGGAACGCACCATTAAACAGGAAACTGACACAAATTAGGCCAAATGATGGCCACAGTTCTCTGGGACTTTGAAGTGGGACAGTCTTGTTGACACATATTCGGTCTTAAAACTTTAAAATAGACTTCTTCCTGCACACGCTTGCTCTACAGTGGCACATTCAGTTGCACTTTTTAAAAACCTCACAGACAGCCTCTGTAGCACAGGCTTTGCAATGATTGATAATATTTCTTTTTAAATGATTTTGTACGCCTCTCAGAACATGTTACGTTTGTGTTTACTGCACTTTTATGACAGATAAATTTTCAAGTGAAAGCACAGCCCATGGTCAGTTTCTAGACATTTCATTTATTTCACTATCTTCCTCTCCTTGGCTGCACTGTAGTGTGCATTCCTTGTGTTTCTCTTGATGGCTGTGATCAAAATAGCAGGAGTGTGCCACAGCTCTGTGTACTTATAGGTGACTACAGTGTTGCAGAAAACACTTGTTTTTCCTCTACCCATTGCTTCATTTGCATTTTAACAGGCACAATAAATCATGTGGCATGTATTCAGTGCCGCGGGGGGTTTCCTCACAGAGTTCTCTCACTGAGGGAAAAACCACAAATCTACATGTCAGGATGGACTACACAAACATTTCTCTTTACAGGCTTGTCAGGTACAGTACTGAGCCAGTTCCCCAGAAGACTGCTAATAACAGACGGCATGTGATAAGCCTCAATTCCACTGGAAACCACGAATACCTGAGAAATCAATACCTGGTCACTGTCCAGCATAGACAATCTGCCAGGCTTGTTTGCTAGTACACTGATGGAAAGCCTTTATATTGGCAGTTAATTTACATGTCATTATAGCACTTGAAAATGCATTCAAATATTGGCTACTTATTTAAATGGAATGCATACAAACTTGGTAGATTTAGATTTAACCTCTCTAACTCTGCGGTGATCCTTTCTTTACAAACTCCTTTTATTTCAAACACAGAAATTTATTATTTCTAAAGACACCACATATACCAGGCTGAATTCAAGGGACATGGGTATAAAGTAATGTTCAATACATTGACTGGTGCGGCCATAAATTACATGGTCAAATCTAAATGGAACAATACATTAGACTGGAGAAGTAGTGTTAAAGACATTGTGCGTGAGGCAACGCTTATTTCACCTGAGGGTGAAACATCAGAACATTCTCCCTGATCTGAAGGGCAGTGAGGATTGTATTTGTGTACTGCGGAGACCAAAAAACCCCAAATGCATGGCACAACACATTGTAGAGGAGCAAACATGGTGAAGAAACAGTTTTGCTCACTCACTATACCCCAACCAACGGGGTGCCATCAGCACACCTCCAACACCATCTGTTTATGCCTTTTCTTTTACCAATATTGTAACTTTGTACTTGAGCGTTTACCCCTGTATTTATGTGTTTTTTACTATGTGTAATAATATATGTATGGCTTTTTTTTTGCTTCTGTGTGTCTGTTGTAGTTTT